CCCCAAAACCCCAAAACCCCAAAACCCCAAAACCCCTAAGGAGTACATGGTAATTGAACAATGAAAATTTAGACAAAATAGATTTTATTTTCAAGTCCTGATGAATTCAGAGAGCTTGATGTCACTGAAAAACTTTTTATTTATTATCTCTTCCTCTTTCCGAAGAGAGCTAAACACCTCCTTCATACACAATTGAATGTTCTTGACCATTCTATTAGGAGTTATCTCATTCAGAGTCATAGGCTGATTCGTAACAGGATCCTTACTTCTATTAGAGATGTCAACGCTGAGAAATGACCTATCATAAGTTATTCCAGAAGGGGTTATTACAGGATCTTTAATATAATCAAACGAAATAGGTCATTGAATGGTTTCTCTAATTTTTGTAACCAAGCCGGCATATCCTTTCCTTCAGAGATAGACTGCTTTCTTTAACAGAAAGTTTTCCTTCTTAAGCCGCTCAATCTCTTCTTTCCTCTGCTCAATTTCATTTCCTTGAGATATCAAACTCCTAATCTTATTTAAATTCTTCAGGAATTAAAGAAATCTGAGAGTGGATATTCTCGAACATCTGATCGCTAAGACTTCTGTTTTGCTGTAATTCCTCAATCTGGAGAGAAAGCCTCTCATTCTTTTCAACTTCATTAAGATAAGCTGTTTTGTAATGTTGCTCCTTATCGACGTAAAGATTAGGATTTCATTCGCTCAAAGGCAGGTCGTAAGACTTAATAGTTGGCCAATAATCACTATCCTCACTGATAGGGTTTACTGAGGAAATATCGCTATATTCAGAGGGGTTTTCGCTCATTTCTGAGATTTTGATAAGCCTTTTCCGTATTCTTTTCCTATACTCAGTTATGATACCGATCTAGCAAACAATTTAAGCTGAATTACTTTGTTTTTATGGCTCTTTTGCCATAAATCCTGGGACGTCTACTTCGAGGTAATTCTGAAGAACTTGAGATATCATCACAGCTTTCATAGTCCCTATTTGTGTTCGATTCGATGCATCTTGGTGGGCTAATTTGAAATTGTAACGCCATAAGAACACAAAGAATATCATTATGCATTTAGGTACTTTTAGAGTCAAACTTTGGAAGAATATCAGAAGTTTGGGGATACTTACACCTCGTCTTTCAACAGCTGATTAACCATCTCTGATATGTTTCCTTCAGCCATGGGAGTTTCAGTCCTAGACACCTATAGTGAAGGTTCATTAAATTCTAAATAGTTTCTGAGATGGACATAAATTAAGGAAACTTTAAGCCAAGCTTTACATAAAGAGACCATCTCTGATGAATTTTACAATTTATAAAGATATGGAAAATCAAAATTATTCTTCTATATTCAATAATAGTCTGAGAAAAACTGTTATCGTTTCACACTTATGAGTCAAATCAGGATAACAGAATTACCTTGAGTCAACCATTTTCCAACATTTCGCTCATTATATTTTTTCAATTTATTCAGACTATTAGGGGTTTTGGGGTTTTGGGGTTTTGGGGTTTTGGGGTTTTGGGG